TTTTTTTTTTTTTTATGTTTGTGCTCTTCTCATAGATTTTCCTGGATACCTGTTGGCTTATTTATCTTCTTCCATTTCTTTTGTAGTTTTAAAGTACTAAATTTGTAGTAATTGGTTTCTCAAATATTGATTAAATTTGCGGGGAGAATTAGAAAACTGTTTGGCAAAGAAGAAGAGTTGGAGCATCATAGAAGAAAATGTTTTACGTTTCTTAAATTTTATTTTTTTTTTAGTAATAACACATGGAGCGATTACCTGGGGACGAATCACGAGACAAAAAGATGTTGTAGTGCAGTCCGTATCTGTACATAAAAGCAACATAATCAAACGGTTAAGTCCTTAAACTTTCGGAAAAAGCCATTTCTCTTCGGTAACAATTCCGCCCAATCAACCACGTTTGGAAATCAAGCACCTTCTTGGTATTGCACCCCAGCCATCAAAAAGAAGAATGGTTATTCTTAACTACCCCTGACATCCAGAAATAAGATCGACTTTGTATTAAGTGAAAAATATTTCCACTGCAATTTGTTTACCATGGAGAACCGTAGCATTCCTTGCTAACCAAAGTGACCTCACCGCCGCAATAGTAATTGGTGGGTGTGATACTAATACCGCCCTAAGATAATAAAGGTAAATTTGAGATTTGAGTACGTATTTAATGTATATAAAAATAAAATATAAGACAATTAAAAAAAATTTTAATTTAATAAGTGGAACAACCATAAATAAAAACAAACTATAAATAAAACTCATTAACTGGTTTGGTATTTTCTGAGAGATGTTTCGTTTAAATTACATATTGTCAACCTTTATGTTCATTAGGGAATAACTCAATGGTTAAGAGCTTGAACTTTTTTTTATGGAGATCATGAATTCCCATACATGTGGAGAGTGTTTAGGACAAGGAGCTTAGTTTAGTGGGGCAAAGTGAAACCTCCATTAGAAATGGTGCATCTGACAAAGGGAAATGATGCATACACCATGTAAAGTTATACACTCCATTACACATTGATGGTTTCTGTTACTTAATCCATTACACACTTCCCTCGTAACTCCCCAAATGCACCCAGTCCTTGCTTTCTCTCTCTCCTTTCCTTTCTCTCTCTCTCTCTCACTATTTTGGCCTTAGACACATAAAATAAGTCTGTTTTTGAGATGATATAGTAGAAAGTGGACTGCATGTGAGTGGAGCCAATCGATAGAAAAGGGAAAAGAAAATAGGGGAAATTTCTACAATTTTGGTACTATGTATAGCTTTGCCATTTTGTCTGATTTGCAACCATTGAATTGAGTTAAAATTTTGTCTGGTTGTTCAAGAGACATTGATCTACGTTCTAAATTGTCAGTTTTTTGTTTGGAGCTTTGTAGGTTTTGATTTTGCCCAGAACAGTAGCTCAATTTTGGTGATCTTTATTTTTTTTTTTTTTTGTAGTTTTGGTATTATGTGCAACTTTACCATTTTGTTTGATTTGCAAAAGTTCACAATTGGTTGAGCTGAAATTTTGTTTGGGTGTTCAAGAGACATTAATCTACGTTTTGAACAATTAGTTTTTTTTTTTTTCTTGAGCTTTATAAGTTCTAATTTTGTGCCCAAAACAGTAGCTCTTTTTGGTAATCTATTTTTCTATAGTTTTGATATTGTATGTAGCTTTGCCATTTTGTCTGATCTACAAAAATTTACCGTTGGATTGAGTTGAAATTTGGTCTAGGTGTTCAAGAGACATTGATCAATATTCTAAATGGTTAGTTTTTTGTTTAGAGCTTTGTAGGTTTTTATTTTTTGCCCAAAACAATAGCTTGTTTTTGGTGAACCGTCAATGTGTAATGGACTAAGTAACGAAAATCGTCAATGTATAATGGAGTGTGTAATAGAG